CAAAACTTCAGTTGAGACTAATAATAAACAACTTTAACTGGAGCAACAAAACTTCAGTATACACTCATGATAAACAACTTTAACTGAAGCAACAAAACTTCAGTATACACTCATGATAAACAACTTTAACCAGAGCAACAAAACTTCTGTACATTACTGATAATAAACAAATTTAACCAGAGCAACAAAATATTAGTATATTACTGATGATAAACAACTTTAATTGGAGCACCAAAACTGCAGTATACACTCATGATAAACTACTTTAACTAGAGCAACAAAACTTCAGTACACACTGATAATAAACAACTTTAACTGGAGCAACAAAACTTCAGTACATTACTGATGATACACAACTTTAACTGGAGCAACAAAACTTCAGTACATTACTGATGATAAACTACTTTAACTAGAGCAACAAAACTTCAGTACATTACTGATGATACACAACTTTAACTGGAGCACCAAAACTTCAGTACACACTGATAATAAACAACTTTAACTGAAACCACCAAAACATTAGTACATTACTGATGATAAACAACTTTAACTGGTTGATCTGTTCAGCCACTACATAAATCCATACTAGGTTCATATTTAGAAACTTCCTAAGAGTATGAAAGTCCATACTTCTTACAATGATGTCTTAAAAAATTTGTGACAACTTTACGGCTGTGATGTTTTCAGTAACAACATCTTTAATAATTAGCTCACACGTTTACAAATTTAAAATTCCTTTTGAGTAAACCAAGAGAGAAAACACGATAGTTTAAAATAAAGGTTTTTCATGATGTTACCTGAAGCATCAGGGCATGTGGAGTGTGGACGAAGTAGGAAAAATTGCCTTTTGGGGCAGCTTGTAAACATAACTGGCTGTCTGTTGCTACAGGGTTATACATAAAAACTATGGCACTTGAAAGCTTTCCATCATAAAGCACCTGAAAAACATGTTTATTGGTCATCAGTGAAGACATATGTAGATATAAAATAAGGAATAACACTATCTAGAATCAGTTATAAATCTATAAATAAATAAATCTATAATAGAATGTCACAGAATCAAGGAGATAAGTGTGAAGATGTAAATCTAAAAGTTTTTAGATCAACTGAGAGCAAAACAGAACAATGCATAAAAATGAAGTGTTCAAAAACAATGAGATCACATGAATCACTTACACTTGTCTTTCTTTTTTATTTAAATACAATATAACTGTTCTATATCTTTAACCCTTATTTGAAGAAAACATAAATCTCTTACATCCCCATCTACCATTTATAAATTATATGACTTACTACCATATTCTTTTCACAGTCTCTTTACTGATCATGTTAACTCTATCACTACAGGTCATGTGTCAAAGGCCATATCATCACGTTTGTAGACTTACATTCAAAATGTTATTGAACTAATATTTTATGAATTTATGTCAATAAGTTTTGTATCAAATTGTACATTATAATTCAAATTTTAGTATTATACATTAGTTAATTTCTTAATTTAAAAGTAAATATTATAAAAACACAGCTAAACATCTATGTTTGTGATGTCAAAATACAAAGTCTATAGTTTTGTACGAATTAGGAACTCAAACTACCAATATTGACAAGCTAGAATATAAAATAAGAACCACCTATCTTTTCCATTTTCTGAAATATTATTACATTTAGTGAATCAACCAAGGTGGCCTCGTCCATCTCTTCCATTTTTGGAAATACTTGTTTACACACACCTACTTCACTCTATGAAATATTTATAACTACTCAAAAGCTCAGAATTTACCACATGTGGTTTTCTCAGCCTTTGCAAATTATTTACAAGGGAAAACCTTCATTTTTGAGGTAGAATCGAAGTAGAGAAGTAAGAGAAAATGGAGCTTGAAATTTCAAATCTTTTTACACAAATACATCTTAGTTACAGTGTAATTTTATGGTATTGATATAGTCATTTATGACTTTTTGTTATTTCAAAATGCATATCTAAAACCTAAAAAAAAGTATTTTGTTTTACATTGTCCATGAGTGAAATTTGACAAGGCTTAGAAAATTACAGCAAGTACAAACTTTTTTAGTAGAAGAGATAATTGTTTTCTGTATTTCTTTATTTACTGTTCTATGTTGTAAGAAATATAACTGAAATTTAAGAATATAGTTGTAAATATTGATAATATATATAAATATATATATAATGTATTATAACTGAAATGTGACTGTATTTTACAAAATACTGGTCTACTAAAACAAAGCCAAGACAGGTCACTTTGTAACGACTAAAGGTCAGTTTTATATGATTAGATATAGTAACAACCTTATCTTCCTTTTTACAAACCATACAGATCCTTTACAACCCTATCACGCTTTTTACAAACTATACAGATCCTTTACAACATTATCTTCCTTTTTACAGACCATACAGTTCCTTTACAACCTTATCTTCCTTTTTACAGACCATACAGATCTTTTACACACATTATCTTCCTTTTTACAGACCATACAGATCCTTTACAACCTTATCTTCCTTTTTACAAACTATACAGATCTTTTACAACCTTATCTTCCTTTTTACAGACTATACAGATGCTTTACAACATTATCTTCCTTTTTACAAACCATACAGATCCTTTACAACCTTATCTTCCTTTTTACAGACCATACAGATCTTTTACAACCTTATCTTCCTTTTTACAGACTATACAGATGCTTTACAACATTATCTTCCTTTTTACA